CCTCTTAGCTACAAACAAAACCTGCAATCAATGGTATTTTGTTAATATCCACGAAAATCGAACTCACTAACCCTACCTGTTGAATTTGGAAATATTACAACTAGAAAGATTAACAGAAACTTAACACAGAGCAGATAGTGATCAGCTTCATCCGCCTGCCTGCTCCAAGCTGGAAATAGTATGATATCCTTGGACCTCACGTTTCCCTAATAGTATTGTGACAAAATAATATGCATGCACAAAAATAACATATACTTTTGTGCCTATTCCCAATAGAACTCTTTCTCGGTTGATAAGTACATGATAGCAAAAAAAACAACAATTTACAGGCAAACAATGCACTGGGTCCACATTTTTGTCTTTCCAGGTGGGAACAGCATAGAGGTCCACAATGTGAACATTTTTTCCCTTATGGATAGAACATAAGTTATTAAACATGCATACATCCAAATGAATACTTCTAAAAGAAGATAATAGTATAAAGTACATGTCTTCGTGTAGCTTCTTCCACAATCTTGAGGCAGGCATTTCCGATCTGAAATGTATTGCAGAACGATTACATCCCTGTGAAAGCTGCTATGTGTAACATTATGCATCATCTAGGAATTAGTTTTTTTGGGCAGTAAATTAAGACACTAAACATACGCACATTAGATTCCATGCACTGGCTTAAACCCAGGCCCCAGAAGTCTTCTCGTGTGAGGCAAATTTGGCCTTGCTTTATGATCAGTTCTTCTGATGGCCGATTTTTGTCCAACACATACTTTAACTAAAAATAAAGAACGTTTAACAGATTAAGTAATGGGTTATCATTTAAATATGCAAAGTGTCACTAAATAAACAATACTTACCAGTTCATCTTGAATAGGGTCCAAGTCCTTCTCCCACCTTGCACCTGAACAAGCATATGGATGCTCTACCTGCCATTTGGATGTTGAGTAGCAGTGGTCCTGGAGAAACATCCTCTCAGTTGGTCCATCTGATGATATACAAATACAAGACAATGGACTATATGCATGGAGCATTCTTTAGAACTTCTGTATATAGATAAGCCAGCTCGAAAACTTCCAGTGAAACGTCATTTGATGCTGTGGTATATATGTAGATACTCTTGAGACCCTCAAAGAAACCTCTACTGCCTCATTCTTGTCAGAAACTGAGAAACAACTGCAAAAATAAATAATAACAGCAGCATTATCTTACAGCTTCATGTTATTTAATAACACTTAACAACATAATTTTATATGCTGATCCTGGTAATCCCAGAAGAGTACCTAGACACGTAATTGTACATTTAAATGTTAACAAGTACACACTATCATAACTGTTTAGGCTAACGTTGGCTTGCTAGTGATGTTATCTCATAAACAACACTGTAATGGTATTTACAATGTCACCAATAACCTAGAAGGATTATTTATTTAAATACTTAACTAGTTAAGGACAAATTAATTCAGTTCATTATTAATGGTATAACAATTAAATACTACAAAACTACATTTTTAAAGTTTTCTTTAACTGTAGAAGCTGCTCAATATATTCAGCCAACACAGACTTGTTGCAAGCTGTTGTTTTGTTACTCTGAATTTACTCTGAAACACTTAATGCCGTTTTGACATCGGCTTCGCAGATGTTTTGTTCCATCCGTCGTTACAGTTATCACTGTCAATCATAGTAATGACTCGCGCAACAATCTAGCCGACTACCTTGTGTAATTATTTACTCTAGCTTTTGTCGTTCCTGAAACAGTATACGTGAGCGTTTGGTCCTCTCATACAAACAAAAATGTTCTTCAGATTGTTAATGGATTATATAGAGAAACCGAGCAAAGGGCACTCCCCTTATAGCACAGCTGAGTTTGACAGTTCACTGGAAATGACTGAGATGGCTTATCTAAAACCAGGAAGTAACTCTACATATAGTCCATTAGTAACAACAGGAATTACAAACAAATATCCAATATTTCTCAATCTAGCATTTCATTTCAAACTTAATGCTAGATGGAATACTTTTCAATCTGTAGTATGTCCTCAGTCTTGACACATTGACCCTCTGACAAGCTGACCCTTTGACGATAGTGGCCACCCCTTTGGAAGAGATGCTGGCCACAGTATATGGTCCTTGGTGCTGACTTGTAAATGTGTCTCCTGTCCGTCGTTTCTTGGGGTCCCGTGAGAGCAGAACATCATCACCGGCCTGAACTGAACATACTCGCACAAACTTGCGCTTGCGATTTTGGAATGACTTCTGTTGCATGCTCTGTGCTTTCTCTATGTTGTGAAGAACCTACCAAAAAAAAAAAACGGTACAAAAAATTAAAAGTTAAATTAAAACTAAATTTGGTCTCTTGATCAATGGAGTTTCAGGCAGGCCAAAATAGAACAATAAGGAACAAGGGTTAATGATTACAATGTAACAGAGTGAGGGAGAGTGGCTTCACATGAAGATTCAATTGCTTTTATAACTAGAGATAAAGCAGAATCACAGCAACAAAAAAAATACATAGATCGGCCTACGCCTAGGTCTAAATTTACCTTTATTATTCAAATACATACCGTTTCATTGAGAAGTTTCATCTTATTGACTCTGGTGTCGATGTCATCTTCTGGGTCAGCAACTTCAAAATCATCTCCCATGGGACAGGCATTCATGACCTCTGGCAGACGTGGGTGTCGATGGAAGAGGAGGAAGTAGGGACTGTGTCTAGTGGAGTACTGATCACATAAGGAAGCTTCCCATTAACTTTTAAGTTTGTATTTATCTATAAGTTTGAAAAGCTCCACCCTTGACATTAAATAGTAAATAAATTCACCATACGCCTAGGTTTAATTCTGATAGTAATTCACTACTTAATTTACCTTTATTATTCAAATACATACCGTTTCATTGAGAAGTTTCATCTTATTGACTCTGGTGTCGATGTCATCTTCTGGGTCAGCAACTTCAAAATCATCTCCCATGGGACAGGCATTCATGACCTCTGGCAGACGTGGGTGTCGATGGAAGAGGAGGAAGTAGGGACTGTGTCTAGTGGAGTACTGATCACATAAGGAAGCTTCCCATTAACTTTTAAGTTTGTATTTATCTATAAGTTTGAAAAGCTCCACCCTTGACATTAAATAGTAAATAAATTCACCAGTTCAGTTTTACCATTGACAACTAACCGTAGATATTATAAATATAATAAGACAAAACCTGCTTTGCAGTGTTGATTCCATACACCACAGCAGGAAGGTGGAGGTCCCAGTCATTGTGGTTGTCATTCACATACTTCCTGAGAGTACGCTTGATATTCTGATTAGTTCTTTCATCCTGTACATATCAATGCATTTATAAAGTTGATGAATAACCACAAGGCAACAATAGATCTTACAAGACAGGTATCCAAAGAGTTACCTGCCCGTTGGTTTGGGGATGGTAAGCACTGGAGATGGCATGTTTGATTTTCAGCATACTGAAAATGCTGTTGTTGAGCTACAGAGGGATCATAAGTTAAATTTGCAAGACTGGAGTAACTGTAGACAACAACATATCCACCTAATTTTTCAACGTGGAAGTAAGCCAAAAATACATAGATCGGCCTACGCCTAGGTCTAAATTTACCTTTATTATTCAAATACATACCGTTTCATTGAGAAGTTTCATCTTATTAACTCTGGTGTCGATGTCATCTTCTGGGTCAGCAACTTCAAAATCATCTCCCATGGGACAGGCATTCATGACCTCTGGCAGACGTGGGTGTCGATGGAAGAGGAGGAAGTAGGGACTGTGTCTAGTGGAGTACTGATCGCATAAGGAAGCTTCCCATTAACTTTTAAGTTTGTATTTATCTATAAGTTTGAAAAGCTCCACCCTTGACATTAAATAGTAAATAAATTCACCAGTTCAGTTTTACCATTGACAACTAACCGTAGATATTATAAATATAATAAGACAAAACCTGCTTTGCAGTGTTGATTCCATACACCACAGCAGGAAGGTGGAGGTCCCAGTCATTGTGGTTGTCATTCACATACTTCCTGAGAGTACGCTTGATATTCTGATTAGTTCTTTCATCCTGTACATATCAATGCATTTATAAAGTTGATGAATAACCACAAGGCAACAATAGATCTTACAAGACAGGTATCCAAAGAGTTACCTGCCCGTTGGTTTGGGGATGGTAAGCACTGGAGATGGCATGTTTGATTTTCAGCATACTGAAAATGCCGTTGTTGAGCTACAGAGGGATCATAAGTTAAATTTGCAAGACTGGAGTAACTGTAGACAACAACATATCCACCTAATTTTTCAACGTGGAAGTAAGCCGTTTTCTGTGAATGTGTGAGACTTCTGCTTCATTAAGCACGGTAGGGAAATAAGGAGAAGAATAACAGTGCAGCAAACGGTAAAACTGTTTGCACTACAAACCAGTGTTCATTATTAAAATAATGCATTAAAATAATATGGTAAGACACACCAGTTTGCAATATCAAGCAGCGGAAATTAGCCGTTTCGCGCAGCTAAATATAGCTGGGAGCAGATGAGACCGGAAACCAGACACATTAAATTTAAAAATGGCTGCGCCAGCTCTTTCGGGAAGAATAAGGTGGACATGTTGAAACAAGAGTAGGAGGAAAAAACATAAACTTCACTTTGCAGACGAACTCCTTCCCTTGGTCTGTAATGATTTTCCTAACCATGCCAAACAAGTACAGCTTTGTGGTTATTATTGCAGACACCTCAGCTGCCGTCTTAGATTGCATAGGTTCCGCAATCACCCACTTGGTGTACAGGTCAGTCATGGTAAGGACATACTTGTTGTTGCGTGCAGTTTCTGGCAGTGGTCCAATCAAATCCAAACCAAGCACCTCCCAAGGTTCTTTTACCTTCATGGCACAAAATTAGCATCAACCAAATGCTGGTAAAACTGTACACAAGGTTGAGACTAGCTTGTTAATTTCATCAGTTTGCTAAAACATTGTATGCAGTACCTTAATAGAATGCAAGACTGGCACAACAGTCTTGATGGGGTCATTCAACTGGCAGCGGTGACAGGATCTGACCTAAAAAAATAACACAATTTTTTTTAACAAAATGTCAAGAAAACCAGCCACTTGATATAAGTTGGTGATGACAATAAATATAACTTCTAAATCAAGGAGGTATCTAACAGTCAGAGGTGTCAAAAATATACATATTCTTAAGCATAGATACTTGCAAAGAAAAAAAACGGGCAAAAGTAGAAGTGAAAATGAAGTACCACATATGTAGTACATTACCCATTCTTTCACATCCTGGATAATTGTAGGCCAATAGTAGCCAGCAATAACCCTGTTCTGAGTGCCTCTGACGCCACTGTGATTGCCAGTCCCAGGGTTATTGTGGCACTCCGTAAGAACAGACCTCTTCTCTTCCTCTGACAGGACAACTAGCCGCATGTACTGCCTACTGGGGCCGACGTAGAAGAGTCTGTCATCTATTTTAATTGGAAAAAAGAAAAAGTCAGAAGAAGCTGCAATTCAATGTAAAATCATTGATCAATGATCAATAAGATCAAATTACATATACAGATATAGGAGCTAAACAAGTACAGTGAACGTAGCTTGATATTTAAAAAAAAAAAATTATTAAGCACATGGCCCAGGTTGTAACAGAGTCAATTCTCTTTTTCATTATAAAATATTTCGGTACTAATAGTTACCTTTGATGATAAAATTCGTCAACGCCCGTCTAACCTTCCGACGATTTGCAGAATTGTCAGGAATTTCTCCTTTTAAGATAAATTCTTGAACCTGTATATAGAATGCAAAAGAATCCATATCGCTAGACTGTCGTAAAAACGTTGGCGGTGACAGGAAGTGGAAGCAATTTCGCACATGCGCAGAACAAATCGTGTTTGCGGTACGGATCGAGTAGCCACAATTGCAATGCATTGCTATGCCAGACCTACTATACACAGCCACGGCCTGTTAGCTTGACAAAATGCATCCATTTAAAAAAAAAAAAAGGCAGAAGATTCAGAAACTCCTTCCACTTCAAAGGCAGCAAAATGTAAACAACGCAAGTACAACCCAGACTATGTTAAATATGGATTCACTGGATTCACCCTTTCCCGAATTCCACCGCATCTGGATATCATCATTTCAGAGCGGCAGTCTCAAATGTCTCAGTAACGTGAGTTAATAAATAAATAAAATAAATAAATCAGTTTGCCTCATAGTCTGTCTAATTATTGAACGTTTTTGTGAAATTAATTATAATAAGCATATACGGTGTAGCCTAGGTCTAAAGAGGCATTTCAGTTATTTATTTATTTCCAGCCTTAGAGGGTCGTATGACTGGCATACAAAAAAAAGTGGGTCGCAGTAGGCAAAAGGTTGAGAAACCCTGCTCTACAGAAGACAGCATAACATACAAAAAATATATAATTTTTCTAAAATGATGTTGATCGTGTAAGGATCTTGCTGTCTATGGGAGGGTCAGACAGCTCTCAGATTCCATCATAAATATCTTAATTTGTGCTCCGAAGATGAACGGAGGTCTTATTTCATCTGCATTATGAATCTTATTTCATCATTATTTCATATATTTCATCTGCAACAGTAATGGAACTTTTATAAACATCCGTTTTGGTCGTTAACTTTTAAAGGCATCATTATGCAGAAAATATGAGCAGAGTTCTCGGCATAAAGACCCGCGGCTCACAGACCAACGTGCTACTTCTTTTCTCTCCGATATGGTAGGAAGTTAAATTAAAGAGAATGTGGAGGATGTTAACTGTGACGAGATGATCGACAGGCCAGTTTACAGTGACAGGGTGCTTGTAACAGAGCGGTATACAGTATATTAAAACCCCGCGCATGGCTTTAGCAGGCATCTAGTCATGATACTAAGCGGGGCAGACGGTGCCTGAGGCCTCCTGAGGCCTCCTGAGCTCAACAGCGCCCCACAATTTTGCAAAGTAAACCTGTGGTGAACAGGGGAACTGCAGCGCGCTCTAATCGAGAGCCACTGGGGCAGATTTGAGACTGGCCTGCTTATTTTCACATTACCTTACGTGACCCTCGCTCCAGACAGTCCAGACCAAGACGATATCAATCCGCTTCAGCTATGTGTCTGCATCAGGTCAGTAACTAGTTGGCATGTCTGTTTTTTTTATGTGGAGTAGTGGATCAAATTAACAAAGTATACATCCTTTAGTTTAAAAGTGCTCACATCAATAGCCTTTATATGGTTATATTGTGTTTGTTTTATTATTATTCTGAGAATAGACATGTGATCGTCTTTCCTCACCCGAATTGCTCCACTACTTGTAATATTCGAAATCAACATTTGGAGGTTATAAATACTATATTAAAGGGGTCATATGATGTTGCTAAAAATAACATTATTTTGTGTATTTGGTGTAATGAAATGTGTTTATGCGGTTTAACGTTAAAAAAACACATTATTTTCCACATACTGTACATTATTGTTTCTCCTCTATGCCCCGTCTTTCTGAAACGCGTCGATTTGTACAAAGCTCATCGGTCTGAAAAGCAAGGTGTGCTGTGATTGGCCAACTATCCAGTGCTTTGTGATTGGCCGAATACCTCAAGCATGTGACGGAAATGTTACACCCCTCACCATACAGTGATGATGCCCTGTCCGGCCGGATCGACGAGACAAAAACATTAAAACCCATTACTGTGCGTTCACACCGCCGGCGGCGAGAGCGTCAAAGTGACCGGAAGACATTCATTTTCAATGTGAGCGGGCGGCGAAAAGCTATGGATTCACTGGATTCACCCTTTCCCGAATTCCACCGCATCTGGATATCA